GACAACAACAACAACAGCGACAACGACAACGATAACGACAGCGACAACAGCAACATCAATTAAACGAACAGCAACAATCCCGCCTCGCAATCTATGCGGGTGTAAGTTGTTGCTTTTATCGTTTTTGTTTTGTCATTGATTTCATTTCAATTTGATTGCAAATTGAAATCAATTGTTATTCTTGATACCCTTTTGCTTTTTCTTCTCTGCCTCCGACTCTGCCTCTTGCTTGAATTTGGTGGCTTTAATTGATGCATTGATTGTGCATAATTTGTGACAATCGTTCGCCTCATTTGATGCTTGAATACGCAAACTGAAAATGAAATTGAAATTCAATCTGTTTCTGTGCCTGTATCTCTATCTGTTTATGAGTATGTGTGAAATGATTTTGCTCGCTTTTCAACTGTCACACGGCGATTGGATATGTTTAACTTTGATTAAGCCGACCGATTGTCTGTTAAATCCGAAACTAATTTACCGTCTTTGCACCTGCTAAGCCAGTCGACTAATAAGCCTTATTAATAAGTATTAAAAAAACGAATCGGATAGTCGGAGATTCGAACAATCGACCCACGCAAATGAACCAAAGCGAAACTTTAAATTGATACAAAACAAAGATCAGACGAGGGAGAAAGAGAGACTATAGCGGAGACAACGATGAGGATGGCAACTCAATTTAGCCAACTGAATGAATGATTAAAGAAACAGCAGAGAAGGCCCTTGGGAACGGAAAAACGAAGCTTTAATACCCTTTTCCATGCGTCATAGTGATTGTATATATTTTTCTGCTTATTTCAATTATCGAGAAATAAATTTAAAATATTCAAACTAAAGCTTTGGAGATACTTTCTGTTTTTTAGGTTGAAAGTATTTTAACAATCTTTCGGCTTATATCTGAAAATATGATAAGTCAAAAAATTCGGTTTCTTTTTAAATTGAAAAATATGAAGGTTTTAAGCCAAGGATAAGTTGATTAAAAAAGCATTAACAATGTGCTCCATTACGCAGCTGTAATGCTCCTGTAAGCATTTTAAAAACCACAAGTCGACCGGCACTTCCAAAGAGCGACATACGCAAATTAGCATTTCCCTTGTAGCAGCAGCAGCAACAGTCGCCACCAGCAGCCGCCGTAGAAGAGACAGCACCAACAACTGGCAACGACAGCGACAGCAACAGCAACAGCAACCAGCCCAATTCCAGAGTCGTCCGACTCATCATTAAAATGTGTCCGCTCGCCCAAAAACTTGATAGCGACATTGCCTGTCGTCGTCCGTTGTGGACGACGTCGTTGTCGTCAATGTCGCCACAAAGGAGCCGCCAGCGCTGCCGCCGATGGCGAGCAGAAAAATGCGAAAAGCCTGCATACTCCCACCAAAGGCAAAAGACGGTAGACCGGAGTCTGGAGACGGGAGACTGGAGACTGAAGACTGCAGACTGTGAAGACTCTTCAGAATCTGCACCTGTCCTTTGCGTTTGTGTACTGGGCACGTCATTTAAATTACATTAAATTGTTGCGCTGACCATGAAAGCGCTGCAAATAAATTCGTTAAAATAACTGAGTCAAAAACGCAGCAGCAACCGCCTCAGATTTGCTGCAGCCAAAGTGGAACAGTGAACGGGGGCAACAATCCCCGCCAGCAGCAGCAGCAACAGCCGTACCAGCAGCAATTTATGCGACCAAGACGGTAACTGTTGCTGCATGCTGCTGCTGCCGCCGGGCATTTGATTTGCAACACAAACAATGACAACGGCAACAAATTTCATGAATGAAAGATTGTGCTGCTGCTGCTGGACAGGAAGTGAACTGCATAACGGACGCGGAGGTGGAAAGGATGTGGTTGCAGTTGCTGCTGCCGTTGTTGATTGTCTGTCGATAGGCGCGTTGTTTTGTCAGTGGGTTGCGCAAAAATGTTGCTCAATCAGCATGTATAATGCAGCTGATACTGGCCAGCCACGAGGGTGGCTCCTGCAGTTGTGCATTCTGGGACATAAGCCGACACAGCAAATGGCCACAAATTGCAGAGGCCATCGCCAATTATGTGCTCGCAACTTGACATTGAGGCTGGCCCATATAAGGCAAAGGCTGCGCATTTATATTGTAATTATGCTGCAGTCGGCGTTAATTTCATTGCCGGGAACGCACCTGCAAACAGTAGCTGCCCAAAAGTTGCTCGACCGGACCACATGTTGTTGCCGTGCAACGACTGCTAACCTGACAACCCTTTAGTCTGTCGCGAATCATTTTAATTCAATTTACAAGTCGACTGAAATGTTCGGCCAGCTTCAATTGCTTTGAGGGTGCCAACTGGCATGGAATTTGTGTGTGTTGCTGTTGTTGTAGTTGGTGTTGCTGCTGCTGCTGATGCGGCTGGCTTTATTTTGGCACTGCTAAATTAAGATTCCATTAGCTGCCAACTCAGGCATCTTAGAAATGTATCTGAGAGCCGGCGATAAATCTCGCAAGTGTCAAATGCTGCAACAGTCGCCGCCGTCGCCGCCAGCAACATGCTCGCTAAGTGCCGCAACAATTCTCAATTCTCTAACAGCAGACGAGCAATTGAAACGTGTCGTAGACAATAAATTCCAAACTACAATAAATTATTGCTATAAATATTTCGCCAAAGGTTTTCTTTTCCCTTAATCTTGGCCCAAAGTTTGAAGGCGTTGCTGCCAGCAGCCACAACCAAACACAACAAGCTTTTATATATTTTTTTGTTTCCATTTCGAACAAGTGACAGCCCAAAGTGACAGAGACTGCCAAGACAGGACCAAAATTGAATTAGGAATTGAGAAAAAGTAAAGTGCAATTGTTGCCAGTTCATAGTGTTCCAGGGGCAATGACAATAAATCGCTCACACTTATGACAACCAGCAGATAGAGAGAGAAAGAGAGAGCAGCATGATGCGAAACATGGTAACACGGAGCAACACGGTGTAACCAGCAGCAACTGGGAACAGGGAGCTGGTCAAAACCGAAAGCCAATCCTTATACAGTCGGCCAAATAAATCATCACAGCCGCACAATGATGAAATTATTATTTATGCAGAGTCTTTGGGACTGCGTGTGCTCCAGTTAAAGTTAAATTCACTTTTCATACACTTATTGCAGGAAAGTTCATTAAAACAGGAAGGTACTTTGTAATCTATATAACTAAAGCTGCTTTTTTTGACGGACTGACAGAGCTGGCAACTCGCTTAGACGGGGTTTTTTAAAATTCCACCTGTAATTGTGAAAAATTGGTGGAATTAAGAACAACTTCTCCACAAATACCCACTTAATGAAAAATCGGGCTCCGAGGATAAATTATATTTAAAGTTCACGCTCAAAACTTAATGAATGAGTTTCACTGCGAAAAGCCTTTGGTGACACAATTTTTCTTTTGATCGACAAAAAGCTTATTTTCACATATCTTAGTAAAATGTAATTTCATTTATAAGGAGGTCCAAAAAAGCACGGTTACGTTGAAATGAGAACCTTTTCGAAAATTTGTTCAAAAACTATATATAACTAGTTCTGAATCGAGTTGCAACAAAATATATGGTTTGTTTTGATTAAGTGAAGGGTATAAAACCCTTCGTTGGCTTTGCCAAATGGGTGTCCCAACTGGGAGCCGAACTTCAATTGCGACCTGTGGCTGCCACTTGTTGCCGTGGCTGCCTTTGTCGCCATGAACTTATTGCATGCAACATTTACCGTATTAATAAATTATGAGTATTTATGTGCTGTCAGAAGTCGTGACGGCAGAGCGACACACAAAGTGATAAAATTAGCACAAAAATCTGTGCGTTTCGCAGCGCTTGGCGTTTCGGCTATTCGGGACAGACTCGTAAATAATTTATATGCGTGTGTGCTTATTGAATGTCTTCATAAGCGGGCGGGCAACAATTGGAAATTTATGCTCTGGACTTATATGGGCAACAGGTTGGACACGTAGTCGCACCGCTTCATAACTGTAACTGGAACTGGTGCAGGCAGGCGGTAACAGCAATTGCAATAGCAATAGCAATAGCAGCAGGTGCAGCAGGCTGGCTGGGCAGTCACTCAAGCTATGTAGCATGTCCTGCAATAACAACAGCAACAGCAACAGTAACAACTACAAGAACAGCAACAACTACAACAACAACTTGTCTCTTGACACTTGGCGCATTTGACACTCAACGCGCGCATTCACTTTAAATCTAAATTTACTGATATCTGCGTACAAAATAGTATCAACAGCGGCGACAGCAACAACAACAAGTGCTACAAGCCATACAACAACAGCAACAACAAAAGCAGCAGCAGCAAGTCGGCCTGCATCGAGAAACGAACGACCTTAGAGGTAATAAACATAAATAACGCCATTGAAAGCGACGCAGGCGCAGCTGAGATCAGTCCAAGACTGAGTCTAAGATTGCAATGGACTTGGGGACACAGACGCAAATGACGTCCAAGGGGGAGATGGAGATGGAGACTGCGACTGAGACTGGCCCGGCCTGGCCGGCTTGTTACTTGTTACTTTGTTGGCCAAGAGACTTCACCGCGACTTCGACTTCGAGCTGGGGCCCGGCCCGGCTCGGCTGTTGTCTATGGGCGGGCGTCACAAGAGCCGTCGAAGGTCAACAGATTGTCGGCCTGGTGTCTATTGGTGTCTCTCGATGGCAGCCAATGTTTACAGTGGTTACGGCAGTTGCGGTGCTCGCAGTGGTTACTTTTGCTGGGAACAATCGTGCAACTGAGCGGGCGGGCATTTCGCTAGGCAGGCGTAGCCGTGATAATTGTTTCTTGTCCATTTGGCCAGTTTGATTGCAACTAATGAACTCTAATGAATAAGCAGCGCTCGGTTTCGATAGGCAGAGCTCAGGAGTGGAAACTGTGAATTGGTTTTTAACAAGGCTTTAAAAATATAACAACTGGTTTGATTTAAAAATGGATATTAGTATGAGGAGAACCTCTTCTAATTCCTCAATCCACAATTCACAATATTTTAACTTAGCCATGTAATTATGGGCTGACCACTTCTAAAAGGACTCGCTTCATCCATTTGGAAACGTCTCTTAAATTTTCACGATCCACAGTTCACAATGCTAGTAAATAATATTTAAACTAAGCCATGTAATTAGTGGCAAGGATTTTCCGACTCCTGAGAAGACTCGCTTAATCCAGCGACGATGCGAGGCAACGGAAACGAATAGAGCTGGGTAACGGCGATCGCATAAGACCCCACGGGTAACAATGCCCATCAGCTGATTGCCACAGATGAGTGGCCCCCCTGAGTCACCGCCACAAACATCTTGCGAAGCCTCGGGCGACACGGTAGCACAGAACAGTTCTTTCCTGAAGCTAACTGGAAATACGCTTTGGCAATACTTTTGCGGCTGCACTTGAAAGACTCGCGGCATCAGCTCCTCAGCAAAGGGTGCTTTCATCTGCGCTCGACCCCAGCCGAGCACAATACAGTTCGAGTGCGCGTACGGCTGATGTGTTGCCAGCTGTGCTATGCCCAGGCTGAGTGTGAGATTGAGATCGAGTGTGTCGTTGTCCTGGAGTCGAAGCAAAGTCAGATCGTGATTGAACGTAATGCGATTGCGGGAGTATGGGTGCACTGACTGGATGTGCAGGATGCGAGTATGCTCCGTGGGCCTTCGGCGATTGGGTGCACCGGCGATGACCAGAAGCTCGTCTGGTTTCAACAGGCGACTACGGCTAAGCATGAAGAGGTAAGTTACCTGCAACATATTATAAAATGTCCTTACTTTGAATCCAGAATGCAATGCGAGGCAGTCAGCACATAGATCGGCGCCACAATAGTACCCACGCAGAAGTGATTGGTGCCAAAGTATTGCGACCTGGGCAGTTTCGTCTGTATGGACACCACATATTTGGCATAAGGATGATGGCTATGATCCGACCTCTCACCTTGGTCATATGGCAAATAGTAGGTGGGCAAACCAGATGATAGTACCGAGCAGATGAGCAACAGCTGCAGCTGCATTATATTGTAAATTGTATTACTACAAAGAGCTGAGCCAAGGCCTTGATCACTGCTTCCAAGCCTACTTTGGCTGTCTGGCAAGCAAGCCAAGTCGCTTTCAGTCTGACGAAATGTCAACAAAGACAACAAGTCTATCGTCGCCAGATAGCTGACTGACTGACTGGATGACTGGACGACTAGATGACTGGATGACTGCCTGACACCCACATGGCTGGGCAATAAGCACACAATTTGCATAAGCTGCTCAAGCAGACGGCAGACAGCCAACAGCGAGCAACAAGTAAACAGCAGCCGGAGTCAGACTGGGGCAGCCGAAACGGGTGCGGGAGTCAGAAACGGGCAACATCTTCAGTCTGCCACACTTTTGTAACAGAGCGCAGGAACAAGGGAGAGGCAGAGAAAGATCAAGTGAGTGGAGTACTCAACTCGGCAAGTCGAAATTTTAATACCCTTAACGCACTCCAAGAACTTATGATTATTATTAGTTGAAAAAAGGGGAACGATTGACTACAATCAACTTGAAATAATTTGTAGAAATATGATAAAGCAGATATATAGTTTTGATGTTTGTTAGCAGTCCTTATTAGATGCTCTCTCAAGCCTCGATGTTAAGGAATTCATTAAAAATTTTAAAACTATCATATCCATGGCAAACTTCCTGGGCCACTCACTATACTCTTAACACATGTGGAAATATCAAAAAACCAAAAAGAAAATGGAGAATAGTGAAAAAATAAAAAGAATTACCTGTGCTTTGGGGGCTCTGCTCAGCGCACAAGACATAATAAAAATCTCTTTTATGGCACTTAAGTGTTTTGTGTGCGGATTGTGGGTAGCATTTTACCTTGGATGCTGGAGTAGCTGGAGCTGCTGGTGCTCTCGGGCTAGCCCCTTCGCCTGCCTGGGCTCTGGCCACGATTTATGCGACTTTGGCCAAAGTAAATTGTGCATAAAAAAGACCCAACTTTGCGCTGCATTTGATGATGAAGTGCTCAAAATAATGCGAGCCACGAAAATTTACTAAGTGCAAGAGTTGAATTTATTAGACAAAACTTTGCTGTTTACGAGCTGTTGCTGCACGCTTATCAAGCAGCATCAACTGGCTAACTTATGGCCCCAGTTGGGTAACAGGTGCAGCCTCAAACCATTTTCAGATCTTGGTTTTGGACATACATTATTTTTTTTTTTTTTTTTTGGTTTGGTTTTGTTTGGGTTCGGTCAGCTCGGTAGCCGCTGCCTGCGGTCAAGCAAAGTTTTCAAGTTCAAGTCATGAAGGAAAGGTGCGCTCCCACGATGCTGGTACAAATTATACACATGTGCCGATGCATGTACATATATACATATATGTCGGTATGCATCTACTCACACAAGAGTTGTGAGAGGCGGCGGTAACTGGCAACATTCAAATCCCATCAGCCACGCATGCAATCATCATGATCATTATGAGCGGAAATGCAGGAAAAGTAGGAGGTTTTTAACAGCCACCGAACGACCACCGACCGACCGAGCGACCGACGCTTTTTTTTTTTGTCTCTGGCAACTTGGCATCCTGTTCCAATCGCATTCGCACCGTTCATTCTCTTGGCGGCGGCATTGCCACCATGGGCATAAAAAGGCGCACAAAACTTTGTGGCATGCAAAAAGTGGTGACGCCGCCGACGCCGCAGCAACAGCTGAAGGCAGGGGGCAGCAGCAGCGGCATTTTATGTCGCCAGCAACAGCAGCAAATGACTTTAATTGCATTTCTCGGCGCACTTTTTGCCTCGCAGTCGCTGCCGCTGTCGCAGCCGCAGTCGCCTTCACCACCGCCGTCGCAGTCGCAGTTAGCTAGAACAGACAATGCGGCGGCGTTGCAGCATTTACTAAAACTTTGCAGCGAGGCGGCAAGATGCTCTTTGTTGCTGTTTTGTGCCACAATCTTGATATAAATAATAATTAAATGGATTAGCGGCCTATCGACTATGCATTAGATGCTGATGCTGCAACGCCTCGCGCTCAGTAGCTGCCACTGCAGTCGCAACGCCTCGAGAGATCAGCGCTGCAGATTGGCCAAAGCAAACAAAAGCCTGACGCAGGCCACACTTTAATCGGCGATGGGGATGGGACGCAGCTAGGATACGGCTCAGGTGAGTGCACGCTCAATTAATTAATAGCAACCATGAAAGAGCCCGAAACGACTTTGCCTATGCCGCTGACTGAGACGCCAACAGCATTTGCAACTGCAACTGCAACTGCAGCAGCGACTGCGACTGCGACGGCGACTGCGACTGAGAGATCGCTATCGAAAGTACATTTTACATGCGTGTAGTTAACATACAAAGCGACCGTTCACACGGCCAAGCCAGCAGCCAGCAGCCAGGCAAGCAACCAGTTGAATGGTCCAACAATCCCCAATTCCAATCGAATCGAATCTCAATCTCGCCTGCGCATGCGCAACTTTTTGGCAATTGCCTGTACCAATGCCTTTCCATTTTTCGCATACCCTTTTCTGAAGCGCGCGCATACTGACTTTAATCTTATCTTTGTACCTCTGCTGGGAATTTTCTCGGAAATAATTTCGCCTACCTATGGATTGGTTGAAAAAAACAAGTGTTCCATTGGGCAAACACTATTTTTCTCTTGCCATTTGTCTGCATACAGACTCTTTTGCTTTTCTTCTCTTAAAAGTAACTTTCAATTAAAGACAGTCTCCTCCTGCTAAATTAAAATTTGACATTATTTTTTTAACCCTCTCATAAAGTTCAGAAATAATTTAGTTTTCGCGCTTTCTTTCAGACGGGTGTCTGTTCATATGAAGCCAGAAGCAAGACACGGGAAATGTATACCTTCGTATATCCGGCTCTCACATACTTTAGTCATAGCATCCTGTAAAGATCAGTTCACAGGTCTGCCTAAAAGAGAAAATCTCAATATTTCCCAAACTCACAGCTTTAAAGTGACTGCCTTGTTGTTATAGTCTTAGAGTCACCAACGCGATAATTTATAATAATTTATCGAAAGATAAGAGACAATTTATAAATTATCTTAAACGTTACAAAATAGTTAAAAACAATTTAAAACAAACGTAATAGAGCACTTTATCGTGCTTCCAATATATGCAATATTCCTCCCATTTTTTTATTAGACAGCGCATTAAAGTGTCGACTTGCCCACACTTAAATTTTCTTTAGCATTTTCAGTGAACACCTTTCGCCAAGTTGGGGGGCTTCAGCTGTTGTTTTTGGTGTGAGAATTTGCTTAATGAATTTCTTACAGCTTTATCGCTTAATTTGTGTGCCTAATGAAGTTGGCTATTGGTGGCTGTCAAGAGGGCAGCGCAGATTACACATACGTCGTGTGGTCCAAGCAAATTGGGCGCTAAACTTTCAGGCTTTCGGCGTGCCACAATATTTACACTAATCCCCTTGCGAATCCTCGTGGCTCAGCACAGTCAAACTGGCCATATAAATAAAATAAAATGCCATGCGCCGCTCTTAAATATATTTTGGCAAGTTATTCTTCCTTTTTTTTCTGTCTACTCTACATAATTACGGGCGGAGCGAAATGAGTTGGAGAATTTGGCGTAGCCGCCGCGTCATCGCGTGTTGCGCAAAAAAAAAGACGGAAAATTAAATTTTTATTTATGTGCTGCCACATTTTTTATGCCGCTGTCGTTCTTTGTACTCAACTAGACTAATTTTTGTACAACATTTTTTATTTTTGGCCATATTTTTTTTTTTTTGCCTTCAGTGCTAATATATTTGGCGCTAGTCGCAGGGGGCGGCAATTTGCGCAAAGTGGATAATGTGCATAATGGTAGTTAAATATGTCATAAAACACTTCATTTTGTAGGTTTTCGACCCGACAACGGTGCTGAAAACTGTTGACTGTTGTTTGCTAAAACGAATACTGTCAGTTGCAGTTTGTAATTCTGTTCAGTTGAGTGACAGTGCTTGGAAAAATGCTATAGTAATTATGGGCCTGTGCTGTGTTTTGGGATGGGCCCTGCATTTCATTAGAAAACTGAATTTTTTTCATAAATAGTCATGCAATGGCTACAAGCTCAAAGAAGGACGAAAATTTAGCACATATGAGCAATATGATCAAGCAAACATTTTTCCCATTTAATACCTTAATTTTCTTTAGAACTTAAGCACATATCCCAAATATTAGAATGAAACTATTGAATAAATAATTTTATCAGATGTATTAAAATATTCCCATTCGTTATAAAAATGGTGAGTGTTTATACTGTTCGTAATTGTAAATGTTAACTGTGGGGTTTGAGCTTGTTATACGAAATATTTTACCAGATAATTGCTCTCACTTCCAAGTATCCTCATTTCTTACTCCTCTTTTTTAGAAAGAATGTGCTTTAAGTGTTCTGCTATTGATTTTTTTTCAGTTAATAATTTGTTTCCGTCGTATTTTCTGCAACTGCCAAGCAGACAGCGCAAATAATACCGTGGAAAATTATCTATCGCTCAGAGTTGTCACTTTTATGTGCATATCATATGGCATGCATCTGTTGACTGCTGCCCTGGGCCTGGGTCTGTCAATAAAGTCAATAAAACAAATCTGCAATTGATTATTTTTGCATAAAAATTGTCCAATATTCCATATAGATCGGCATGCCGTAACAGTGACACGACCTTGAGGCATAATAAAAATATGTAATGCAATGCAATTACAATCAAAACCGCACGACCCACACACACAGCATTGCCCAGACTGTGGCCACCATCGTGGTGAGGTGGTCTGAGGCTGAGACTCGAGCCGAGGCTCTGCGGCGACTCGGGCTGTACGCATGCGCCGCGTGAGCTCCGTCGATAAATCGAAATTGTTTGCACTGCCAAAAAGCGAATAATTGCACGAGGTGGGCAGAGCAGATAAACCGAGCAGCCCGCTGGCCGCGAGCTGGCAGCGAGTTATGGAATTATGTGTCAAACAACGAGAGTTAATGGCCCAGTCCGGTTCGGCTCGGTTCGGTTCGGTGCAGTGCGGTGCGCTGCGGTGCGGTGCTGGGTGGTACAGTCTGGTCCAGCGCCCTAATGGAAATTGCCGGCATCTGCTGCCGACCAGACTGGCCTCGGCCTGTGATTTTGCGCACATTGAATGTGTTT